CCTGCCTCAACCTCTGAGTAGCTGGGATTACAGGGGCCTACCACCATGCCCAGATTTGTTTTGTTTTGTTTTGTTTTAGTAGAGATGGGGTTTCACCATGTTAGCCAGGCTGCTGTCAAACTCCTGACCTCAAACGATCCACCTGCCTCAGCCCCCCAAAGTGCTGAGATTACAGGCATGAGCCACCGCACCCGGCTGCAGCTCTTTATAAACAAAGAAAATATTCCAAGTCTCCGATTATTTCTGAACAACAAACCCTCTGAGAGAAGTAGGGCAGATGTTGGTGAGGTTGTTATAGATGGTGTGCAGGCTGTGCACTGCAGTAACAGCGAATAGCGCCTTCTAGAGTTGAGCATTTCAAAAATATATGGGTTGGCCCTAATTCATGTTAACATCCACATTTTCTAGAAACGAAGGCACAGAAATGAAATGACTTTGTAAAGGTTATGCACTCATATAGTGCAGAGGCAGAGCTCTATTCAGATGTTGTCATTTCTAGTCCCCTGCTCCCCACACCTTGCTGTCTGCCTTAATGCTTTCTGCATTTTGACTTCTCTCATTTGCACCAAGAAATAGTTCATGCTATTCACTGTTTCTTCAAATCAACTGGAAATTCCCTGAGGGCCGAGTCTGTGAGCTTGGCACACAGTAGATGCCACCTTATTTGATTCACTGACATAAATGTAAGGGAAAATTAGTGCAGTCGCATCCCAAGTGCGTATATGATTAAGGTGAATAATTTTCATAAGGCCAAGAAAGAGCTTTCCTTTGAGGATTAAATCCAGCCAGCTCTGATCAGAATCAGAGAAATACCAGAGGAAAAAAAAAGTTTGTTTGGGGTCAGTGTTTTCCTAAAGTTCAATTATGATCCTTGTCGTATCTAAAAATGCCTATATATTTAATGTAGGTATGTTTTCCCATTACTCATTAAAATAAATATATGACTACTGAAAAATTTTAAATGTTTCCATGTTGTAAGAAACTAAGTCATGAGGCAGCACTGGACTTGACTACTTTCTTGGTCCTATCTGGGAATAGGAGGAAAGATAAGAGGACTCAGTCGGAGGAGAATTTGGTTTCCTGTTGAGGAAGTAAAGGGGACTTATTAGTCCATCAACATTTCCTGGATGAGGTGCTGTGGGCATGGAACAAGAGAAGGCACAAAGTCTGCTTGGGAAGGGTTGGCCGTTTAGGGTAGAGGACGAGATGCCAATGAGGTTGGTAAAAGAGGGCTGCTGGGGCCATAGTGGTGCCAATTTACAAATGCAAATCCCCTGGACAAGAGACAGGCCAAGAGAGCACTTAGGGATGATGACTCTTACCCTTCATTCTAGGGAACTGGAAACTAAGGTCAGAAAGTGAGTGGATATGAGCAAGGTCATCTGAATGTGTGAATAAGGACTAAGGTCCAAACATGCAGGTGGTCTGTGGCTAGGGAGCCACCACATGTTAAGGTTTTGTTTAGTGTATTTCTGTTGAGGAGACGGTAGAATGTTCCTTGGGTACCCAGTTTGGAATGTGGATGTGGAGCACAGGCAGCGGAATGCCATGAGTTAAAAGGCATCATGAATAAAACAGGGACAGGTAGAAAGCATCCGTGATTCCTCTTTGGACCCTTAGTTGGATCAAGAAGATTGTCCCTCTGGCTGAAAAACAATCATTAAAAAGAAATGAGAATTGGGGAAATTTGAACATGAACTCAGTATTTGCTGATGGATATTGAGGGATGATTGTTAAATTTTAAAGGGGTGATAATGGTATTGTGGACCTGTTAAATAGACACATATTTGTGTATTTGTGGATAAAATGACATAATGCCACTTTGCTTTAAGAGAACCTAGTGGTAGGGGAGTGGTTGTAGAATCAGGCTGAGGCCCGATGAGACAAGTGTGGCCTTGATTTGATAAGTGGTGAAGCTGAGTGATTGGTACATGGAAATTTATTAGACTATTCTCCTCTTTTTGTGTATATTTGGAATTTTCCATAATAAAAAGTTAAGGAAAAGATATCACGATCCCCAAAGTACTGCAAGTCATTTGATAAATCCTTGGTGGTTTCCCATGTGTGTACTTCACACGTAGAAGGTCAGGGAGCCAGCAGTGGGTTTGCGTCTTAGTGAAGGAACTAGTGCTGGTTATTTAACTTCTCTGAGTTTCAGTTTCTCCATCTGTAAAATAAGAATAGTGATAACATCTTATATGTCAGGGTGGTGAGGATTAAATGAATTCAGCAGGTAGAATGCTCAGCTCAGGACCTAGCGTGAAATTGAGTCTCAATATTTGTTTCCTTCTTCCCCTTCCTTCTCAGGACTGGGATGTACATGTTGACTAAAACCACACTTTTCCACGTTGATAGCTTCTGGAGCCAAATCCTGCTGAGAGAAAGTACTGGTTCTAGTGCAAGTATGGAGAGGACCCCTTAAGATTCACTCTTTATTGGCTTTGACTCATCTTCCCAGAAATCCTGGATCTCAGGACCTTAAACCTACCAAGAAATGGTCTGGGTTATCTACAGTGAGATTCATTTTGATCACAGACAGCTATAGGAGCCAATGTGCTTTTCCAATTGAGAAATGTGAAAACCATGGAGGCTGAACTTCTTTAAACTAAAAGATTCCGATTGCAGAATGCCTTCACACCCTTGCTATCTAGAAGACTGAGCATATCCTTACAAAGTTAATGAAGTGTTTGTTGCACAGTTAATGGCATAGAATGGCATCTTCTATTTATCTAGCTTTTTAAGTTTTAAAGAATTCTAACCAACTTTATATACCATGCAAATTGTATCTCTGTCTCTCTCTTTACACACACACACACACACACACACACACACACACACACACACGAAATATAGACAACCTGACTTGTTTTTTTATCTTCTCTATCTGTACAGTTGTGAAAATAACCTAAAACATAGGAATTGATATTTAGAGAGCATTTTGATATATTTGGATGAAATGCTTGTGATGTAGCTATCATGATCATGATCTTGATCTTTTTATTTAAATTCATTGCTGCAATCTTTGCCTCTTCTCCAGTATGTATTCCACTTGCTCACTTCTTTTTGAATACATCTTATAATTCTCGCATGAGTGAAATCTACTTTTCTTTATAATAATACCTTATGATTCTTTGGCACTTGGTGGTTTTAAAAAGATTTTTGCATGCATTATTTCATTTAATCCTCACAACAGTATTGTTAGCTAAATAGGGCACATATTATTTCCATTTTACAGGTACATTTCATTGACTTTTCAATGTTGGAAGGTGCCTTTGAGATCATGAAGCCTGACTCCCTCTTTTTTACTAGTGAAAAGTCTGGGTCTCAAAGAGGGTAAGAGAGCTTTCTGGTTTCAATGTGCCCATCAGTGACAAAACCAGGATGAGAATTCTTGTGACTTTTCAGTCTTTAATGCTGGTGTCTTTAAGTCTTTAACCCTCAGCTAAGCAAATTGGGTATTCTACTTGACTTACAGCTGTCCTAACCACCTGCAGCCAGAATCACCTGAGGGGGCTGGTTAGAAATACAGATACCTGGGCCATACCACAATCTGAGTGAATCAGACTCACAATGGGAGGCTCAAAAATCTGCATGTAAAACTCACTGGGGTTATTCTTCTGTAATGGAATGTGTGAGAGCTACCAGTTCACTGGAGTTAAGCTCTGTGGATCTGAATCCCATTTTATGCAGTGGTCTTGCGGTCATTGCTCAGTGATATGTCCGGGATGGTTTTCTTTCTTTCCAAAATTATTACTCAGACTCTGCTTTGAGTCTAGCATTGCATTAGAAGCTGGGGTGGATATTTAAGGGACTGCTAGCAGAAAAGACTCAAGGTGGCTAAGAATGAGAGATATGCCGAGATGGGCAAGAGAGAAGGCTGGGCTGACCAGTGGCACCTCCACCATTTTGGACACAGCAATTTGGGTGGCTGTTTGGATGATTCAAGCTGCCTCTCTGCTCATGCCAAGTGTGAGTATACACCGGTAGGTGGTGTCACTCGAGAGCAGTGTTTGTTCCTCCTTTAGGGTGACAGAATGTGCCAGAGGCCATGCTTAGTGCTTTTGTATATTACCTTTTTTAATCCTGAGCATTTCTATATGAGGCAAAGAGTAGATGAAGTTATCCCGATTTGAAATTGTGGAAATTAAAGCTCAAATAATTTGCCCAAATTCTTGTTAACTGGTAAGTAGTGAGGCCAAGACTCAAAATATTTGGTTGACTCTAACATCAATGCCGTTGACTTGCATAATATATAACTGTTTCTCATTATTCATGGATTCTATATTTGTGAATTTGCCTACTTGCTAAAATGTGTAACCACCAAATCAATACTTGTAGCACTTTTATGGTAATTCTCAGACATGCATAGAGAGGGGTAAATTTGAGTTGCGTGATGCTGAGTCCCCAGCCAAGGGACCTTTAGTTTCAGCTCTCATGCTGGAAGATAGTGTCCATTGTGCAGTCTATCTAGTGCCACGTTTTTTGCCGCCTTGTGCATTACGTTGGTGATTTTGCTGTAAAATGGCTTCCGAGCCATTTCAAGTCAAGTGCTGTCTAGTATTGCCAAACAGAAGAAGGCTATGCCATGTCACATGGAGAAAACACATGTGTTAGAGAAGTTTTGTTCGGGCATGAGAGTCAGAGCTGCTGACGCGACTTGGATGTTAGTGAATCAACAATGCGCACTAAATGAGGTTATGTATTGCTTGGATAACAAAAAGGTGATCACAGGCTCAAAGGAATGTATTTCCAGTAGGAGCAATGGTTCTGTATTTGGTAATTCAGTGTTGGAGATGCCTTCATAGAATAGAACTCTCTGGAATGACAAGGATCGGCCACATTTCCTTGTAAGGACTCCAAGAGGCAAAAGTGCCCACTGTGGGCAAGCCAGACGATCAGACGCAGCTTATTCCGGGATGTCTGGTCCCCTTAGTTTGTCAGCCAGCCCTGAGGGTGTCAGTTTCATCATTAACGCTGGGCTTTCCCGTTCTCTCCCGCAGAGGGGCGCAGCGGAGCCCTTCCTGAGGCTCCACAACTCGTACAGCCCCGCTGGCTGCGCGCGGCAGGCCGCCCTGCCCCGGCTGAGCCGCCGGGTGGCGAGCCAGCACTCCTACCCGCTGAACCGCTTCTCCTCCGTGCCCTTAGACCCCATGGAGCGCCCCATGTCCCAGGCCGACCTGGAGCTGGACTACAACCCGCCGCGGGTGCAGCTCAGCGATGAGATGTTCGTGTTCCAGGACGGGCGCTGGGTGAACGAGAACTGCCGCCTGCAGTCTCCCTGCTTCTCCCCCTCGGCCTCCTTCCACCACAAGCTGCACCACAAGAGGCTGGCCAAGGAGTGCGCGCTGCAGGAGGAGAACAAGTCTGTGCGGGAGGAGGCCAAGACCCTGCGCGAGGAGACCAGGCTGCTGCGCGAGGAGACCAGGCTGCTGCGCGAGGAGACCAGGCTGCTCCTCAAGGAGAACAAGCTCCTGCAGGTCTTCTGGGAGGAGCACAAGGCCTTGCGGGGCCGGGAGGAGAGCCGGGCCCCCTCGCCACTGCTGCAGAAGGACAGCGCGTCTCCGGAGGGGGTGAAGAAGGACCACGCCGCCCTGCAGGGGCCCCGCGGCAAGGAGGACAGCACCCTGCAGCTCCTCCGGGAGGAGAACCGCGCGCTGCAGCAGCTGCTGGAGCAGAGACAGACCTACTGGGCCCAGGCGGAGGACGCGGCCGCCCCCGCCGAGGAAAGCAAGCCCGCCCCCTCGCCCCACGAGGAGCCCCGCAGCCCCGGGCTGCTGCAGGACCAGGGCTCCTGCCTCTCCTCCCCCTTTGAGGAGCCCAAAGGGCCCCTGGCGGCGCAGGAGGACTCCAAGGCGATGCGCACCCTGCGGGAGATGGTCGGTAACCTGTCCGGGCCCTCCGGGGAGGAGGACGCCAAGGCGGGCCCGGGCCTGCCCGACGACTGCCAGCCCCTGCAGCTGCTGAGAGAGATGAGCCAGGCGCTGCAGGCCCTGCGCGAGGAGAACCGGCTCCTGCAGGAGGAGAACAGGGCCCTGCAAATGCTGCGGGAGGAGCGCCGGGGCTTCCTGGAGGAGAACAAGGCCCTGTGGGAGAACAACAAGCTGAAACTGCAGCAGAAGCTGGTCATCGATACCGTGACCGAGGTCACCGCGCGCATGGAGATGCTCATCGAGGAACTCTACGCCTTCATGCCGGCCAGGAGCAAGGACCCCAAGAAGCCCAGCAGGGTCTGAGGTCTCCACCGTGCCCCGGGACGCCGAGTGTGGGACACCGAACTCTAGGCGAAAGAGAATCCCCTGCCTTTCTTTGTGGTCCTCGCCTTCCCCCACCAGTTCGTGCCGATTGAAAAGCAGCGTTAGCAGCCTTCCTCGACTCAGAGTAGTAATAAAGATGTGAGGAGGCTGGGGCCAATTGACACCAGCATGTTGCCTAGCTTCTTTCTCTTTATTTTTTATAAAAAAGTAGACGATATCTTAGAGCAATTTTGGATTCACAGCTAAATTGAGCAGAAAGTACAGCGAGTTCGCAGACTCCCGCCCCACACAAATGCATAATCTCCCGCATTATGGTCATCCTCCAGGGTGGTACATTAGTGACAGTCTTTGAACCTACATTGACACATCATAATCATTCCAAAGTCTGTGAGCTTGCATTAGGGTTTGCTCCTGGTGTCGTGCATTCTGTGAGTTTACAAATGTATGGTGACATGTAGGCACCACTGCAGTGTTGAAATACCACATAGAGTATTTTCACTGGGCTAAAAATCCTCTGAGCTTCGCCTGTTCATCCCTCCCTCCCCCTCCAACCTCTGGTCACTATTGAACTTTTCTACTGTCTTCATAGTTTTGCTTTTTCCAGAATGTCATATAGTTGGAATTGTCAAATGTGGAGCCTTTTCAGGTTGTCTTCTTTCACTTGGATGTGCATTTAAGTTTTCTCCGTGTCTTTTCATAGATTCATAGACAGCTCATTTCTTTTTAGCACTGCATAAAATTCCATTGTTTGGGTGGATCACAGTTTATCCTTTCATCTGCTGAAGAACATCTTGGTTGCTCTCAAGTTTTGACAATTATGAATCTGGCTTCTTCGCTCCTTTTTTCCTCTGGTCTCTTCTTTACCTCTGCCTCTATTATTGTCTCTTTTTTTCTTTCAGTTCCTCCTTTTTCCTTTGCTTTTTCTTCCTCCTTTTCTTTCTCCTTTCTTGCTCTTTCATCATCTCCAATTTCTGAGGCTCTGGGGGCGGGGGTAGGTCAATTGGAGAAGAGGTCACCCTAAGCCCGGGCTTTTTAATTGTGCCAGTATTATTTGGGGCTGGATAAGCCTGGGGTGGAGACTGTCCTGTGCACCTCACAAGGTTTACCAGCATCCCTGCCCTCTACTTACTAGATGCCAGTAACAGCCACCTGGCCCCCGCCCCCCAGCTGTGACAGCCAAGTATGTCTCCAGACATTGCTGAATGTCCCTGGGGGACAAAATTTCAACACTGCTGTAGGTTTCTCCAAGTACCATTGATTGAAACACTATTTCTATATAAGTCCTAGAAATATATTGAGAAAATTAAAGGGTTGCACAGGAGGAATGCTGCTAGAGTCTCTTCCGGGGATTCATAATCGTACTCTGACTTAAAGGTCCTAACAAGTCCTACAGTGAAGTAATCTGCTTATCCTTGGTGAACCCTTAATTACCCAATTTTATTTGATCTTGAAATCTTTTTCTGTGTTTTCTCTGTTATTCACCCAGTTTGGGAAGGAGTGCTTGTGCTCTCCCCAACCCCAGGCTCACTTCCCTACCCTTGGATTCCCTCTATTTATGGTTCACACTTACTAGTTGGTTGCAAGAGATGGGGGTGGCCGGCTGTCAGGCTTACTGGGGGCAGTGCAGAGGCTCAAGATTTGTTGTTTCGGGCTTCAATTCCCATTTCAAAGTTGGACATACTTTAGAACCAAGAAGTTGAAAGCTACCCTTAGGTGACTAGACAAGGGAGCTGGGCAGTGGTTCCCAAACTTTGCTGTATAGTGGAATCATGGAATCACCTGAGGGTCTTTGACAAACACTGGCACCTGGACCCCACCTTAGACATTATGATTTACTTGATATTGACTGTGACTGGGCAGTGGTGTGTTTAAAAGCTCTGCAGGTGATTTCAATATGTAGCAACATTTAGGAATCACGATAGTAGCACCGTTAAGCCTTCTGATTCTCAATATAATGTTTCATTCACTAGTAATGAAGATAAATGAGTATGTACATGTTAAGGAAGTTTATCCATTTTGCTGATGGGAGAACTGATCTTTGCATGGAGACAGACATGAGTTTGAGACTAGAATATTCTCATTCCTCATCCATTATTCATGCTGGCTAAATTTCTGAGACTTGAACAAGGCAAAGGCAGTCACCCCCACACACAAAGATCCCTTTGCACCCCGCTTTTCACTTGATATGACCTCCAGTAATCCTCAGCCCTGTGAGGAAGGCAGTATCATTTATTCCACAACTATGGAAACAGGAACTCCAAGAGATTTTCAGAGGTTAACCAGCTAGCAAAAGCCAAATGGGGACTTCAGTGTAGACCAAATGACTGCCGATCTCAAATTCTTTCTATGAGATCAGATTGCCAAGTAACCCTGGTCTCTGAAAACTAAGTGTAAAAATGGTTTTGGGGCCAGGAGCAGTGGCCCACACCTGTAATCCCAACACTTTGGGAGGCCAAGGTGGGAGGATTACTTGATTCCAGGAGTTTGGGACCAGCCTGGGCAACATGGCAAAACCCTGTCTCTACAAGAAAATACAAATATTAGCTGGGCACTGTGGCGTGTGCCTGTGGTCCCAGTTACTCAGGAGGCAGAGGCAGGAGGATCTCTTAAGCCAAGGAGGCTGTGGCTGTGATGAGATGAGATCACACCACCGCACTCCAGCCTAGATGACAGAGTCTTGGGAAAAAAAAAATGGTTTTGGTGTCTATTTCTCAGATTAGGAACTTGTCAAGTCTTACTCAAAATAGCATCAAATTCCAAAGAAGGGAGAACAAAATGACTGGGGTATTTCCTCTCATTGGCTACACACCTAATCTTCATACAGGGGCAGAAGGTGGCCGATGTGTACACAAAGGCTAAATCATTTATTCCCCTGTTGTCACCAAAATCTGAAAAATGGGAAGTTGTTGTTGATAGGCCTTTGGCCCTTTGCAGTTTTTTGCCCTCCTATATTTAGTAAATTCATCATTCAGGGCATCATGAAGTACCATACTTTGTTCAAGTCAGTATCATAACCCTGGAGTGTAGGGTTCTTTTTGTTTTTTGACGAAACCAAATTGATTTGTGTGATTCTAGACAACTAGAAGACAAAAGGCACACTCCCCGTGTTTGTGTTACAAATATTTAACTTGGATTAATGTATAGAACAGCAGTTGGATGTTTTCTCACAAGCTGACAGAACTCAGAGAACATAATACTATTTAACAATGTCAACTTAGGCAGAATCTAAATGGGTGAGAAATTAGCAAGATGAGCCATAAAATGTCATTTTTTATGGAGTGGGGGAGATTTACTTCAAAACAATGTTTCGTTGTGTAATGCAATCTGTCATAGATTAGCTAACAATCTAGCAGGATCTAACCTCCTGTAGAACAGAATGAACTTCCATTCTTCAAGAAGAGTATCCTTTAATACTCAGCTTTTTCTTTGTCTGCCTCCTGGTCCAACCTTAAGCCCTTCTCTAGGGACCAAGGCTGTTTTCGCTAGCAGGGCAGGTCTTGGCTTCATTCTAAACACTCAACTTTTTCTACCTTCTTCCATTTGGCCCTTGACTTGGCTGGCTTTCTTGATTGCTGGAATAAACCCTCCTGCTGAATTGGCTGAATGTTGTCGATACGTCTATCTGGTACCGTAAGTCGAGGGTCAGGTCAAATAAAGAGAAACATTCGCAACCTAAAACAACTGGCTAGTGTGCAACAAAAATAAAATCCTAAGTCTCCCAGCCAACGGAATAGGTCTCCCTTTCTTGGCCAAAGGGACGGAGAGGAACCTGAAAAACTGAATTTCCAGCCACGATGGGAAGGGAAGTCAGATGTGCCTTGTGATACTGCCCCCTTTTGGAGTTTAGGCACAACTGACCAGCACCAACATTGAAATGGAGAGCACAAGACTGACAAAACAGACTCTGTGGCAATAAGATACCAAATTCCAACCTGACTCTTGCATAGCATCACGTGACAGCAGACCCTGAAAGAAATAACAAGATTTTACCTGAAAATTTATTTCTTTGACATATTTTGAATTCGTCCTGGAAAACAGTCTCTTAGGGGTGGTGGGGAGGTTTTGCATCCACAGAGAATCTTCATTGATGCAGCTAGGCCTTCCCTTTCTAAGTCTTTCCCAGACCTAGGAGAGATTAAATGATAACCTGACACCTTTAAGGTCTGAAAAGAGACATTTATCATCTATTCTTGCTGAAGTCGCTAGTGGAAGCTTCATCTACATAATCAAAGCCTTGGTCTTCACAACCTCTCCTTAACTCAAGCATTTATTTCTACTGATTTTGAGTCTTTAGACAAAGCATAACTTTTTCAACTAGTTGCCAATCAGAAAATCTTTGAATCCACTCATGACCTGTAAACACGGCTCCCATCCCAGCTTTCATGCCACACCCCCCTTCCCAGGTGTATATGTGATGTATACCTTCTGTGTATTGATTTATGATATTACCTGTAATTTCTGTCTCCCTAAAATGCATAAAACCCAAATTAGCACTGACTGCCTTGGGCACACTTTCTCAGACCTCTAGAGACTGTTCTCCCGGCCGTGGTCACTCATATTGGCTCAGAATCAACCTCTTAAAATACTTTACAGAGTGTGGTTTTTCTGTTAACACTAGTCAATGGAATCTCCAGAACTAGTGTGTGTGTGGGAATTCCAATAGGGAATCATCTATGCAAGGATGGTCACCCCGAGCAGAGAGCACCAACAGTAGGAGACAGAATCAAAACAAGTCTGAAGGAAATCCTGTTGGTTTCTCTATGCCTCAGATTCCAATCTTGAACCCTTCCCTTTCTGAGGAATTTCCATAGAATAGGGTGACCTTAATCTGCATATTGTCAGTGCTTGCTGGAGTCCAGTGTTAAGCTGGGCAGAGCAGGAAGCAGCTGAAGTGAGGGTAAACTGACAAAATGTGTCTGATGGAGGAAGTCAGACCCCTAAGTCCTCTTTAGTCCTGTCAGCTTATTGTCCTGCGTGTTGAATTTCTGATTCATCATGGGAAACATCTTTTACTGGCAGTCATGTCATTTTTAGAATATTCTGGATATACCAAGAACAGCTGCTGGGAATCAGCTTTCTTTCCATTCATAATACAGGGCCTGAGTTGGTCTCCCTGTCCTTTTGCAGCAGACAGAATGCTTGTGCTTGGAGTTGCCCACCCCCTTC